GTTGATAATGATTAATAACATAATAAGGCTCATGTCTCACATTTTTGTTAATAGTCACATGTTATTTTCAAATGGTCACAGCATAGGTTACAGCACATGACTCAGGTCACAGCATAAGTCAAGCACATGGCTCAGGTCATAACATTGGTCACAAAGACTACACGTACCACCTCACCACCACCACCACCACCACCATCTTACATGCCCTAACCCTACTCCGCCGAACATCCGACGAAGCAGATCAGACGAAGAAACCAACTGAAAAGCCCAAACCCAACGCCACTACACCCCACCACGCCACCAGAGATAAGGTCAACCACATAATAACCACTGACTCATCACCCCCACTGCACACCGCTAGAGCCACCACCATGGAAACATCACCACGGCACACAACACACTGTACCCACAGCACCACCACGCTACACCACCACCATCTCCACGGCCACGGCCACCCACACCAACTCACCGTGACATCCAAAAACCATCGCCCCTACAAAACCGCCCACTACCACCACCAAATTCAATAAAACCCACCCACAACATATCTACCCACACCAACAAAACAACAAATCCACCAGCTCCAACACAACCTAGCAGGAAAACCACACCAACGACGCCCACCGTCGGAAACCACAAACTACAAAGACCACAACCACCTTACTGCCTACACCACACTGTCGTACCACCACTACTGCCACCAGTACATCTACCAATCTCAGTCATCATCTTCGTAAGCACCTTCACCACCGTTCGAAATCTATCACCAACCAATAATTACAACAATGACCTCAAACCATCACCACAGCAGCTGAGCAATTGTCGGAAACCATAAAAAAAATCTGACCATGTTACCTTCTTGCAACCACGACGACCTCATCAAAGGGGGAAAAAGAGGAACCACCACACAGATCGCATCAGCATCAACCGGCATTACGATTTCTTCAATGACGGCACCGCCACCAACACCAACCAACCACCACGACCCAGCCGCCTAAGATAAGGAAGAGAGAGAAGGATGTCACTGGAATGAGAAAGAAGCAGCATCGACTGGCTTTGTGAGTCTTCGACGATGTCGCCACCACCAACCAACCACCACAACCACGACCCCGCCGCCTCTTCCACGCCGCCGGAAATAAGGAAGAGAGAGAGAGTGTGTGGAATTTTGGTTTGGGTACCGTCCCGAGAGAGAGTAGGGATTTAAAATAGTTTGATT